GAGAATGATGAAACAGTACAATTGTGGAAAGCTGGAACAATGGGGATGAGTAATAGATGTTTGAGAGTGAAGGAATAGAGCAAATGTGGACAGTTGGCACAATGAGGATGAGTAATAATTAGATGTCTAAGAGTGAAGGAATAGAGCAAATGCTGAAGGCTGATGCAGTCGGGACATATCTATGTAACAGTTTCATGTCTGAGAATTAAGGAACAGAACACAAGTGGAGAGTTGACACAATAGGAATGAGTAATAGATGTCTGAAAGTCAAGGACCAGAACACAAATGGAAGGTTGACACAATCTGAATGAGTAATAGATGTCTGAGAGTCAAAGTATAGAGCAAAAGTGAAAGGTTGATACAGTGGTGACAAGTAATAGGTAGATGTCTCAGAGTTAAGGAATAAATCAAATGGGGAAGATTCAAAGACCTATGAATATGTCAGATTCCAGAGATCAACATATACCAAGCAGCTTGATACAGCATGTGAGATCTCATAGTTCCAAAATCAGTCAGTGATGGATGATTGGTTGGTAGTGTAATGTTGCTATATTTGTTTGATGATTGGTTGGAAAGTAATGTTGCTATATTTGTTCTCTGTGCAGGTAATCAACCATGTCTATCATGAGGACTCCAGGGATTTCCTGGCAGAGACTTGCAGACACATACCCAGAAACAGACACAGAAACAGACACAGGCACAGACACAAGAGACTAGTCGAAGAAAGAAGGATGTACTGCAGACACTCCAGTAAGTCATCCACTGATGCAGCCAACCTTCCTGTCAGTGTTGTGGGCAAAGTGCATGGAACAGACTCACCAGAGCTGAGAGAACCAAACAGACAGAGAGAACCCAGCAGCCAGACAGAATCTATCAGACAGACAGGCTTACTGAAGTCAGACAAACCTCTGCTTTATCCAAAACAACATTTAGAACATGTTCTAACTCTCAGAGGGCAGACAGACGAACTCAGAAGACATGTTAAAAGACACTCACAGAAAATCACAGAATCAGAGCAAAGGGCAAAATCTGAGAAATCACAAAGTTTGACTCTTTTGGAGAAAGTCAGAGCTTTCAGAGCTTTGCTCAGTCCTACAGTTTTTGGACAATTAGAAGATCATCTGTCCAATGAGCAGGTGTCTCATTTCAGTCGGATGTCTCATTGTCTTGAAGATGCAGGCAGCTGTGTTAAATTCAAGTCTACGTCATCAAGCAGTAAAAAAACTGAAACATTCACACCAGGCATATCTCAAGATGAGTTCCAGATCTCATACGAGAAATGTAGAAACAAAAACATTTCAGAATTACAGCATGAGATGACCTCTGGGTCATGTGAAGAGGTTCTGGTCATACCTGTACTCATTAATGATGTGTGGACTTTGCCAGAAAATCAGCAGTATATTCAAAAAGCATCAGCAATGGATTTTCAACAGGATGAGTTGAAGCGAACATATGAAGAAGACAGGAAAAGGCATGGACATTTTCAGGGTGCTCAGAAATTATTGCAGTCAGACATGTACTATCAGCATCCATCAACACATCTAAGGACTGATACATGTGATACAGTGAAATCTCACTTGGCCAAAGAAAAAGTGAAACAATTTATTCAACGTCCACTGTACAGCTGTGGGCAAACTGTTTGCAACAAATATTCTAGTTGTCAGGCATTGGGCTCAATGAGGTATTCTCAGAAAAACAGAATGCTTGAGCTGCAAGAAGATCTGGGTCTTGTAAACATCAGTGATACACAAACTTATGGTAGACCTGCTGAATTTCAATCTTCTCCGAGACATGTAGAACCACAGATTTCTAGATATGCTAAACTACAGACTTCTCCAAGACAAACAAAACCCCAGACTTCTAGATATGCTGAACAACAGATTTCTCCTAGACATGCTGAATTACAGACTTCTAAACATGTTGATTCTTCAAGACAAGCAGAACCAAATACTTCTAGATATGCTGAACTACAGACTTGTCCTAGACATGCAGACTTACAGACTTCTCAAAAACAAACAGACGCCCAGACTTCTCCAAGATATGCTGAATTACAGACTTCTCCAAGAGAAGTAGAATCACAGACTTCTAGACATGCTGACCTACAGATTTCTCCAAAATATATTGAGCTCGCTAATGAAGTTAGCTCAAGGACACCCAGCAAGAGCACGCCACCAGAATCACGTTGTACAATTACAACTTCCCGTAAAGCCAGCACCAGTTCTCATATGGCAGTTTCTCCAATCTCTGGTGTTTATGTTTTACAACCAGGAGGTGATCTAAATTATGCCAGATTGTCCAGTAAAGTGGTTGCAAGCATGCCAGCACAAGTTACACACAGACACTATTATGAGACTGCATCATCAGCAACCAATGGTATTTCAGCTCTGAAAGATCACCATCATCATCAGCAACTTTGGGAACAAAGTCCTTTGAAATCATCTGTTGATCAACCAACAGCCTCAGCTGTGTTTAGCACTGGACACAGACAGCAAACAAATCTGAAGACATGTCCTGTACCAGGAAACAGTATTGTGACTTTACCAGACAATCCTGCAGGGATAAATCTAGCATGTACATCTGATAGTCCAAGACAAACAAATGTTCCTTTAAAAACAGAATTTCTTCAGTCAGATTGTTCTCCACTTTCTAAACGATATGGCAGCTGTAGAAGGATGAATGTATGCAGAGCAGAATGCCAGTGTCACTTTGGAATTTGCAGGCCTAGTACCAGGCACACAGTTGCTGTTGATATGGCTACATCAAAATCTAGTGACACTGTTGATGACAATGATATTGGTGGTGATGTTTGTGATTTGACTGATGATGTCGCTATTGTTCAGGAACAGAGACACAAATTTACATCCTCAGTTTCAGAACAGAGACAAACTTTTAGCCAACTGTCCAGTCACATCAAATCAGATCAAACTTCTAACCAGCTGTCAAGTCACATCAGATCAGATCAAACTTCTTACCAACTGTCCAGTTATATCAAATCCAGTCCAGCAAAATATCCCTCACAATCTACACGAAAGCTGCCTCAGAAAAATTGTGCCACACTTGTTGGGGCACATTTGCCAGGAAAGTTGATGTCATCATATGACACTTCACTGAAGCCTGCACACCAACAACATCAACCTGACAGGAACAAGCTGTGTAATGAAACATGCACTGGGAATACTGCAAGTAAAAAGTTGATTGTAATAAAAAGATCAGCTAAGGAAGTATCTAATAAAGGAAAACATTCTCCATTAGGAAAAAGTAACACAGGGAAAACTCAAAGGAGCAAAGGTGACCTAGAAATATTTTCAAATGATAGTAAAAGCCCTGTACAAACCAAATCCAAACTGTCAGAAAAAGAACACATACTTTGTTGTTTAGAAAATGAACAAATGTCTGGCTCCAACCATACAAGACACAGAACCAGTGAAGAAAATCAGAAATATTTCAGAGGGAAGCAGCAGTCAGAGAGGCAAGTGTTCAACAAAGATGCCGTGTTTCTCGGAGACAAAGTACATGCACTTCACTCAGAAATTCATCAGAGACTCGAGAGTAAAGAAAATATTGTTTACAGCAACAGACTGTCAGAGCTGATCAAAGATGATAACTGTTACAAATCTGAGCATAAAACATGTGATGCGATCAAAGGACATGGCTTAAATGGATTCATGAAAACATCAATGTTTTCCACAAGCACACCAATCAAACACACAAAACAAGGCAGCACATTTTCTGAACCAGTTCCAGAGCATTCCAACATTTTCCAGGAGGACTGGATAATTGACCAGGTTTTAGACCCACACAAAGCCAAAAGTGAAAACCATTCTAAGAATGACAGACATAATATTAATGGCTTTTTGACTAGCAGTTTGAAACAAATAATTGCAGACAAAAATCTTTTGGTATCAAATGATGTAACCCAAGATCATAGAGATGCTGGCAGCAGACATAACAGCTGGAATATTAACAACTGGTCAGCAGTAACTGGACCTCATCAACAAACAGAAAACAATCAAACAGAGATTTTAAATCACAGTCATTGTAAGATCGCAGGAAATGGTGTGTCTGTCTCCTGCATGGACCTGGCTACCTCCCCAACACACCCAATCTCACCTGGACATCCAGTCCCCAAGTTTATGTTGATGAAACATATTAGGTGAGTACAGCTAGGGTATTCTGTTTTTGCACAGATAAAGTTTACTGGGTGAGTTCAGTGATTATAAAACATACATGTGTGTGTGCACATGCATTATATAATAGTAGTTGAACTCACAAATAGTCCTTGCCATTAGCTGTTGTCCAAGATATTGTATATGTGCTGATTTCCAAGATTTGTTATTTGTTGCTGATATCCAAGATATGTTATTTGTTGCAGACTACAAAAATATGTTGCAGATATTCAAGATATGTTATATGTTGCTGATATCCAAGATATGTTATTTGTTGCAGACTACTAAAATATGCTGATATCCTAAATATGTTATATGTTGCTGATATCCTAAATATGTTATATGTTGCTGATATCCTAAATATGTTATATGTTGCTGATATTCAAGATATATGTGCTGATATCCTAAATATGTTATATGTTGTTGATTTTCAAGATTTATGTGCTGACATCCAAGATATTGTATATGTTGCTGGTATCCAAGATATGTTATTTGTTGCAGACTACAAAAATATGTTGCAGATATTCAAGATATGTTATATGTTGCTGATATCCAAGATATGTTATTTGTTGCAGACTACAAAAATATGTTGCAGATATTCAAGATATGTTATATGTTGCTGATATCCAAGATATGTTATTTGTTGCAGACTACTAAAATATGCTGATATCCTAAATATGTTACATGTTGCTGATATTCAAGATATATGTGCTGACATCCAAGATATGTTATATGTTGCTGATATCCTAAATATGTTATATGTTGCTGATATTCTAAATATGTTATATGTTGCTGATATTCAAGATATATGTGCTGACATTCAAGATATGTTATATGTTGCTGATATCCAAGATATGTTGTTGTTAACAAATATTATGTTGCTGATGTGTAAGGGTGGTTGTTATTGTCAGTTTTGTTACTGTTAGTTGTCATTGTCATCATTGGCTGTCATCATTGACTGTCATTGTCTGGTGTCATTGTCTGTTGTCATTGTCTGGTGTCATTGGTCATTGTTAGTTTTCAATGTTTGTTGTCATTATTGGCATTCATGTGTGTTTTGTCTAGGAACATTATCTTTGTTTCTGGTATACTGAAGCCCTATTTTTCCCCATGTAGAGTTGGTATGTCATTATGCATTTGTGTGTGTGTGTGTGTGTGTGTGAGAGAGAGCATAAGTACACACATTTGTATGTGTGTTTATTTGGGCTATTTCAGTAAGCTTGAAGTCTATATATAAAGAGTAAAAGACAAGGTTGAAATTTGCTATTTAGCTTAGCAAGAACCTTGAGTAGGTACCACCAATGAGTTCAGTCTCCTGTTCACATCTGTAGTCATGTAAATGTCTCAATTCTCTCTTCCAGCAGTGATGGCCGAGCAAGTCCTGCTGAGTCACTACTGGTTCACCTTGATGATCCCAAAGTTGTCAGTCTGTTGCAGAAGCTCTACAGCGTGGACTACGAGACCAGGCAGAAAATCATGATCAAAGTAGGTCCTAATCAAACTGTGAGACTAGGGATAAACTAGACAGTATTCTACACAAACCAGACAGTATTGTACACATGATACACATTCATCATCACCATGTAGCAGGTCCTTTGCAGAACGTCGCTCTCATCACAGTCTGCCTGAAAGAAACTCGCTCTCTTGCCAATTCTTCCGCCTCATGAACTTTCACACTCAAGGAGTCACTTATATCCTGTGCCTATCTTCGTGTCGGTCGGCCCCTGCCCCTCCTTCCTGGTACCAAGCCTTCTGCTATAATTCTTTCCAATCCGTCGTGGCGCTTGATATGACCAAAATATTTCAGCTTTCGAGAAAGGATGGTGTTTATTAGCGAATCTTTCTTGATGTTCAGATCTTTTAAGATGTCAATATTTCTCATCTTCTTTGTCCAATATATTCTTAGAATATTTCTATAGCATTTCAGCTCAAAAGCCCCAATTCTGTTTCTTAAGGACTGAGAGATAGTCCACGACTCACATCCGTACGTAGCTACAGGGAAGATGCATGCTCTCAAAATTCTAATTTTTATCTCCTTGCTGGTACTTAACCATAGACTTGTTATTTTTGGGTGACAGCCAGTTTTATATGTGGACATTATTTTCATTTCGTTTAAATTCAAGAACAGATTTTGATCTTCACTTTGCTTTTGGACAGACAATATTAAATTTTCTATTCCCTTTATGCTTTTCGAAAGGAGGACTGTGTCATCTGCGTAGCAGAGCTCCGGAATAGGGTTGCCATCAATTTTAAGCGGATCATAACTGTCACAAATCTGGTCATTTGCTAGATGTACATTACTGTACACAAATTAGTATTGTACACAAACTAGATATTGCATACATGCTAGACATTATTGTACACAAACTAGACAGTATTGTAGACATAGTAGATGTTATTGTACACATACTAGACATTACTGTTAGTTTGAAGGTTATAATTTGTATACAAGAATTTGGTTAAAGCAAAAACTTAAGGTCAAGGTCAGTAAAGTGTGCACTTATTATTCAGGTGCAGTTTTTCCGAGCCTGGCAGAGGTACACAGTCTCCTGCAGGGAACACAGAAACAGGAAGGAAACACTAGCACATGCGTATGTTCTTCTCATTCTTCCTCACATGTGTGTTTCTGCTGTCTCATTCTTCCTCACATGTGTGTTTCCAGTGTCTCATTCTTCCTCACATGTCTGTTTCTACTGTCTCATTCTTCCTCACATGTGTGTTTCCACTGTCTCATTCTTCCTCACATGTGTGTTTCTGCTGTCTCATTCTTCCTCACATGTGTGTTTCTGCTGTCTCATTCTTCCTCACATGTGTGTTTCCACTGTCTCATTCTTCCTCACATGCCTGTTTCTACTGTCTCATTCTTCCTCACATGTGTGTTTCTGCTGTTTCATTCTTCCTCACATGCCTGTTTCTACTGTCTCATTCTTCCTCACATGTGTGTTTCCACTGTCTCATTCTTCCTCACATGTGTGTTTCCACTGTCTCATTCTTCCTCACATGTGTGTTTCCACTGTCTCATTCTTCCTCACATGTGTGTTTCCACTGTCTCATTCTTCCTCACATGTGTGTTTCCAGTGTCTCATTCTTTCTCACATGTGTGTTTCCACTGTCTCATTCTTCCTCACATGTGTGTTTCCACTGTCTCATTCTTTCTCACATGTGTGTTTCCACTGTCTCATTCTTCCTCACATGTCTGTTTCTACTGTCTCATTCTTCCTCACATGTGTGTTTCCACTGTCTCATTCTTCCTCACATGTGTGTTTCCACTGTCTCATTCTTCCTCACATGTGTGTTTCCACTGTCTCATTCTTCCTCACATGTGTGTTTCCACTGTCTCATTCTTCCTCACATGTGTGTTTCCACTGTCTCATTCTTTCTCACATGTGTGTTTCTGTTGTCTCATTCTTCCTCTCAGGTGTGTTTCCACTATCTCATTCTTCCTCACATGTGTGTTTCCACTGTCTCATTCCCAATTCCATGTTTCTTAAATTGCCTATTCTCGTGCTTATGCCCAATTTGTGACCCTTTGAAAATAAAGCTTGTTCATTCATTCGTCCTTTCGTTCTCTCCCCATGGGGCTTCCAGGACCCCACTGTGGGAGAAAAAAAACAGATTCACTGGGCCCCCAACAAGCTTGTCATAGGAGTCCACTGAATGGTGGCTTGCCTTAAGGTTGGAATGCATCTGCCCAAGAGGCAAGGATCCAAGAGCCTACATAAAAATAAGATAGATCTGTAAAACAGATGCGCACACAACACTCATGTTCTGGGACACAACTAAAGTCTGGAGTTGAACGAACAACCAGAACTTTCCTGCAGAGTTTGCAGTCAGTGAATAATTCGGCTGAGAAATTTGCTGTCACTGCTCCTCTAGGTGGTGCGCTATTTTATGATAGAGTTGATATGATGAACGCTGTTTGTGGTCAGTCTCAGTATGAGAAATTTTCACTGGTTACCGAGAATGGGGATAAAGCCCATGCAGGTATATACCATATTCCTGCAAAAGCTTTGTTTTTGTTACTCCTTCCGACACTTCACTGAGGTACAAGGTGGAAGAGATGACGAAGGAAAAGGAATATTCCAAATGCACTAATGGGAAGTTTTCTGTTTATTCAATAATATTTTTATGAATTCAATCTCTTTCTTATATTTTTTCTCTACCTGTTCCATGTTTCGTCTTTCCTTACTTTATTATCCACTTTCACATGTTTAATTATACAATTACTTTCTTTCTTACATTTAATTATTGCCTTATTCCCTGTCACAAATGTCTTAACTCTCGTATTCCTTTTCACATGGTCCCCTATTTTTTTTCCTTTGATATGTTTCATAAAGTGTGGCACCAAGAAGATGTTCTCAATTATCAACTGTGCAGTTTTTCTGTTTCTTCAGCTGGCCTCACCATAGAATGTGTTATTCTCCATGTTTAGGTCAGAGATGTTTTGTAGACATAGACTGCTGTCTAGTCTCTTGACTGTATGGAGGGCTAGAGCTTCCCACAGCTCCAAGATGAAGCAAGCTAGTTCCCTCTATCACCTTCGTGGGCTCAGGAAAGGCTTTCAGGCACTCAGGTGGTCAGTCAGACAATCCAAGAACCTGACCAGCACACTAGAGGTTAGGGTTCAGGCTATATTGATCAAGGCCAGCTTTCAGAAGGTCAGCGTTTGGGTACAGTTTGTGTTGATTTCATCGAAATATTGTTGTTTGTTGAGACAGACCACTAGAAATGTTGAGACAGAATTCTTATAAAAGGTTGAGACAGAACACTACACATGTTGAGATAAAACAATAGAAATATTTAAATGCTGAGAATGTTGAGAAAAATATTGCAAATGTTGAGACCAAACTTTGTAAGTATAGTTCATAACTTTGAAAATTTTGAAACAGAACACTGGAAATGTTGAGACATAATACTAAAATGTTGAGGTAGAACACTTCACATGTTGAGATCAAATACAAAAAATGTTGACACAGAACACTACATATGTTGAGATAAAACAATACAAATGTTGAAATGAAATGCTGAGAATGTTAAGAAAAATATTGTAAATGTTGACACAGAACACTACATATGTTGAGATAAAACAATACAAATGTTGAAATGAAATGCTGAGAATGTTGAGAAAAATATTGTAAATTAGTTAGTTAGTTAGTTAGTTGGGTTATCCTCATTGCACTCCGGACATGTCCATAGGTGCTCAGATCCTCCCCTCAGTATGAACCCCAACGTCCGATGGCTAATAGTACCAGTTCTATGTTGATTAACAAGTCTTCTGGCGTAGCTGGTGTGTGTCTCGTTTTTTGCTGTGCCGATCTTAATTCCCAAGTCTGCCATTCTGGCGAGTGATGTGGATTCACTGCCACCAAAGTCCTCTATTCTTCCCATTTCTCTGAGGGCATTGATAATATCAGCATGATCCATAGGCTGACCGTCGGTAGTGATAGCGGATCCAGCCAACCTGTCAGCTCTTTCATTTCCATTGACGCCTGCGTGTCCCGGAACAAAAATAAAGGTGACTCCATGAACAGTGGACTTCTGTAATAATTCAAGCCATTGTCTTCGCGCTGAACCTGCCTGAACCCTCCGGATCATACTCATTGAATCACTGAGTATACACACGCGGGTGTAAATATTGTAAATGTTGACACAGAGCACTACATATGTTGAGATAAAACAATACAAATGTTGAAATGAAATTCTGAGAATGTTGAGAAAAATATTGTAAATGTTGACACAGAACACTGCAAATGTTGAGACTGATTACTTAGCAAGTATTGAGATAAAACTTTGCAAATGTTGAGATAAAACTTTGCAGATGTTGAGATCGAACACTTGAAAGGTTGAGACATAATACAAAAATATTGAGGCAGAGCACTTCACACATTGAGACAGAACACCGTAAATGTTGAGACAAAATCTTCTAAATGTTGGGACAGAACTTTGCAAACTTTGTGTGAGTAGTTGAGATTGGTGACAGATTCACAAAAACTTTTTTTATTAATTATTACCAAAACTGCCTCTGGATTACTGGGTGGCTGTGAAAGGCATACAAGTATGCATGTTAGACTGCACGATCACAGACTTAATTTTGCTTTCCTCTTCATTATTCTTGGTATGAATGTGTGAGTGTGAGTGAGGAAAATGTCAATAAATGCATGAATGAGTGAGTTTGTGTGTGCACCTGTGTGCATGTATTTACTATCTGTTCTTTTAGTCTTTTTCTTTGATATTCATATTATGCAGATTTTTATATCAACAAACATGCTTTATTGATAAAATACAATTGCTATGTGAAAGATGAGTCTTTGGAAGGGCCGAAAATAAGAAGGGCTATTTTGAAAACCCTTTGAAAATTAAGTTAATTCATTTGTTCATTTGTTCATTTGTTCGTTCTATCCAGGTATTGTTTTCAGCAGGGACTGTTCTCTCTGGGTGTAGTACTTTCCATGTACTGTGCTCCCCAGGTAGTGTACCTCCAGGTACTGTTATCTCCAGTTACTATTCTACCCAGTTACTATTCAGTTCAGTTAATATTTTCTCCAGGCACTGTTCTTTACAGTTAGTATCTCTCCATGTATTGTTTTCTCCAGTTACTATTTTATCCAGATACTGTTCTCATCTGTACTGTTCTCTCCATGTATTATTCGCACAAGGCACTGTATTCTCTACTGTTCTCTCCTTCTGCTATTGGCTTCATGTTTAGGACTTGGTTTGTCATGTCCACCAGTTGATAGATGGTAGACGGTTGGCCTCTAGAATTGACAGATAGTGGAGTGTTGGCCTGTAGTGTTGACAGATGATAGAGTGTTGGCCTCTGGAGTTGATGAATGGTAGAGTGTTGGCCTCTAGATTTGACAGGTGATGGAGTTTTGACCTCTAGAATTGACAGATGGTGGAGTGTTGGCCTGTAGTGTTGACAGATAGTGGAGTGTTGGGCTCTAGAGTTGACAGATAGTAGAGTGTTGGTCTCTAGAGTTGACAGATGGTGGAGTGTTGACCTCTTGATATGACAGATTGATTGTGAACTGTAGGCCTCTAGAGTTGACAGATGGTGGAGTGTTGATCACTTGAAATCACAGATTGATTGTGAACTGTGGGCCTCTAGAGTTGACAGATGTGGAGCATTGACCTCTAGAGTTGACAGATGGTGGAGTGTTGACCTCTTGATATGACAGATTGATTGTGAACTGTAGGCCTCTAGAGTTGACAGATGTGGAGTGTTGACCTCTAGAGTTGACAGATGGTGGAGTGTTGTCCTCTAGATTTGACAAATCATGGGGTTGCCTGTGAAATAGATAGATGTGGAATGGTCTCTTGAATTAACAGTTCTTTCAAACAGGAGAATTACTAATAGATGTGGATAATGTAAGGAGGATATGGAATTATCAGAAAATAGTGGCATTTATGGAGTTGGGGTTAATCAAAACTGAATATTATTTCTTTTATAATTTTATTTTGTATTTTGTATTTTCTGGTTAATAACAGTGGAAAACTGGAGCAGAAAGACGGCGACAAGAAAATTTAAGAAAAGTTTTCAACATGTGGAGATGTTTTGTTTCAGAAACTCACAAGTGAGTATTGTTGGTGATTTATGTGAGTAATAGGTTAATGACTCAAAAATTATGGAGGTAAACACTCAAAGTGTATTTAATTACTAGCAATTATTGGGTTAAACATTTAAACATTGCATGATAAATTCATCTGGAAGCAAGAAGACTACCAGCAAGGTGTTAATGAGGTCCTTAGAGAAGGCTAAGAATTGAACCACTTCCCCATGCCAGGCATGTGGTAACAATCATTTAGGGTGGGGTTAGCTTGGGGTTGGCAACCCCATTCCACAGAAAGATTTATCATAAAAAACAGTAGATCATGAACAAGTCTAGGATGGTTTCACATCAGTGGCTTGAAGGTTTCTGCTCCACTGTGGGTCAAGGGCAGAAGAACAGGTCAAACACAGAAGGAAACTAGTGGGCAAAGACACTTGAGAGTTTTAAATGCAACAGTCTGACTCATGTCTTTGTTATGATGTTTTGCGAGTTTGTTTAGATGTGTTGTGAATTTGCTCAATACATTGTGAATTTGTTGGGAATGTGTTTTTATGTGTTGTGAATTTAATGCTTGAAATCAAGCAGGGAAAAAAAACATTACTCCACTTTCAGTCACCATTGGGTTGCTGCACACCTTGTGTGAATTACTGTGTAGCTATGATTTAGTAAAACATTTTTTTGAAATTTTAAGAAAATTGTTATGTTATTGTTGTCAATTATGCTGTAAGTTTTTTGTAATTTTTATTTCTTCCATTATCAATCAGAATTCGTCATATGACTGAAATAATCTGTGAAAATGTCAAGACTGATGTCCTGAGATGTTGGAAGAAAATTTTCAACAAACGAGTGAAGAAAAATCTGGCATACAACCAGGTCAGGTAAGTAATGATATGAGATGTACATGGAGAGGTAATTGTACTGATATTGCTGATATTATGCAGCTGTGTGCAGAGAATTGAGCAGGATACAGTCATTTACCTTTTCGAGATGACTCAGCCGGTCTGTCGGCCAAAAAGCAGATTTGCCAAAAAAGAGGAATGGGCCAATCCATTACTCGATAATACAACCCTTTAGGTTGGTTGGCTGGCTTTTATACTTATGCTTCACACATTTCTTGCACATGTGGATTGTTCAATGACTTTTCTGAAAGTTTGATGTGTTGTTCTGTAATTTTGTATCGAATTTTGTTGGTTACATGAAAGGGGGTAAAGTGCTACCTGTACCCAACAATGGTGAAAAGGACTGTTGCGTCATAGCAATAAAAATTGGGGGATAGGCAAAAAAAGGAGTAGAACCATGTGCCAGAGGAGTCTGGAGAGCTTTCCCCCCAAAAACAGTTAGGACTTACTCAGACTTGAGTCATCAAAAAATTTAGCCACATTGTTCAGTTTAGTCCTGTTTGTCCTTAGTAAGTAAAAAACAAAATGTATGCATGAATATGCAAATTCGGTAGCTAAATGATGAGATGTCAGTGTGATTCATGAAGACTGTATTAGTTAATTCAATTTCCTACAAGAATAGGTATAGTTTTAAATTGTTAATTAAACACTTTTGTTTTTAAATCTTTGAAAATTAAGAGAATCCCCACCTGAAGGCTCTGTCTTCTTGGCACTGTAACTCAAGATAAGCCTCCATCTGCAAAGGATTAACGGTGATATTTCTGTGTTTCAGAACCACTTTACTGCGACATACATTTGCTTCCTGGCGAGCTCATTATTCGCAGCAAAAGGAGAAGAGGGACAAGTACTCATTGGCTGTGTCAGTAATTTAGAGTCTAGTTTACTGTCTGTCCTCATTAACTGTATCAGTAATTTTTTCCCATCTGTTTGTGTTTTTTTTTTCTTTATTTCTTCTTCTTTTGTCAAAATCTGCTTGTGCCACTAGGCGTCGCAGTCTATCAGATGATCGGCAACCGAGCCAGGGCGCGCTCAGTCGCTTCATATGCCGTGATGTTATGAAGTCTCAAGTTGTCCGTGACTCCTTCAATCCATCTTCTTCTTCGTCTTCCCCTGCCTCTTGTTGTTTCGATTTTCATGTTGTCTGCTCTTGATGCTGGCATCGTTGGTTCCATTCTCATTAGGTGACCAAACCATTTCATTCTTTGCTTCTCAATAAATTTAACGATGGGTATTATTTAAATTGTTGCACTTGTTTAAGGCTGTGATCTAGAATCTTTATGTCGATGGTCTGTTGCTCTCTACTTATGCTCATGACTTCTGTCTTTTCAGTATTGATCTTCATATGATGCTTGAGGCAACTGTCGTGTAGTAGGTTCATGTGGTCTTGCAGCTGTTTACTATCACTGTGAAATATGCATTGATCGTCGGCAAAGAGCAGCTCATTGAAGTCCTCCTGTTTATCGACATCTGTTGGTGTTATGTCTATTTTATTAATATTGTCCATAAATATTATGAAAAGTAAAGGTGATAATACACAACCTTGTCTTACTCCTGATGTTACTGGGAACCAGTCTGTGATGCCAGCTCTTGTTATCTTTATTTGCTGTCATTTAATTAATGATGATTAATTTAAAGCAAATGCCCAAGTGATGTCATTATGAAAAAAAGGGGAGGTGTTTGAAAAAGCATGAAACTGATTATCCCCACATAGTCGAAAACACATAGGTCACCTTTGCCTTCAAAGAACATTTCTTGGTACCCATTTTATATTGGGCCTCTAAAATAGTGGGCCTTTGCTCAGTGTCCAGTCAATTTGATGAGATCATACTTTGAGCTATGCATGTTTTATTAGATTATAGCATATTTTTTATTACTTCTGATAAAGCACAAAACCTCCATTTATATTATATGATACCTTATATTTCTATAAAGATGTCTGTGATCTGCTCATTTTTTACAGATCCAGACATCAGCATGCACTGTTGAAATCAAGTTTCCTGCAAATTGTTGCCAGCTTTAGCAAAACCCAGAAAGCTACAGATTATGTTAGGTCAGTGCAAACAGTGTAATCAGTTGTCCAGATTTTGTTAGGATATTGTAGGCTGTATAACATTTGTTATACTGTGCAAACTGTATAACAACTGCAGGTTTTGTTTAGCTAGTGCAAGTTGTATAATTGCAACACTTAGCACTTTGTGAATGGCTGCCCTAACCTTCATCTTTGTGCCAGGTCATGTGGGTGTTCAAGGAAACGAGCATGCTGATTATCTTGCTGACACTGCGGTTGCCCTGGCTGGTCCTGTACTGGACAGAATCCATGTTTTCAATGCCATACACAGCACTTACTGTGACGAAGGACTTGCCAAAGGGCATGACTCAGTATCCCTATCTAATTTGTTTAATTGCTGGTTGTGGTACTGGTTACATTACAGAGGGCATGGTTGGATAATCAAGAGTCCATTTTTCTTCTTTGATTAAAAAAAAACATAGCCTGCCTTTTGCCAGTCAGCCACAGCTGACTCAGGGGCCAGTTTCCACACCCTGTAACACATTATTTGCTAGAGAATATTTTGAGAAGAGATGAACAAAGAATCACTAAACGTGCACTGAAATAGGACACTGATAGATTGAGAAATTTAGGGTTTCCAACAGAAACTTGAAGAAGGCTTCTATTGTGTTTGCTCATCCTTGAAGTTTTGACTATATACATGGCAGCGCTGGAGACCAAGATAAGGTAGAGGATGGGAGAATACAGTTTTTTTTTCACTTTCTGGGCAAAGCTGAGCACTGACAAATAGATAGTGACAAACAGATAGTAATAAAAAGACTATGATGAAAAGATAAACTTCTGGGAATCATGATATTTCACAGACAGCACAACTCAGACAAAGAGATAATGATGACAAACAGAGAAGAATGGTATGACATTACATTGGGTAGGTAGAGTGTTGTTTGGGGTGGGGGTTGGGAGAGGATAAGATTAACCATGACTACATCAAACTGTGCAGGTGAGAGAGAATGGTATGACATTACATTGGGTGGGAGTTGGGGGAGGATAAGATTAACCATGACTACATCAAACTGTGCAGGTGAGAGAGAATGGTATGACATTACATTGGGTGGGAGTTGGGGGAGGATAAGATTAACCATGACTACATCAAACTGTGCAGGTGAGAGAGAATGGTATGACATTACATTGGGTGGGAGTTGGGGGAGGATAAGATTAACCATGAAAACATAAAACTGTGCAGGTGAAAGAGAATGGTATGACATTACATTGGGTGGGAGTTGGGGGAGGATAAGATTAACCATGAAAACATAAAACTGTGCAGGTGAGAGAGAATATCTGTGATTCATCAGAAGCAAAGTGCTTTCACGTCAAGAACTAAAGGAAAAGTCATTAAAGAAGACAGTGGAGCCTTTGCTATTACACCCAGAAGCTTGACAATGGAGTTCAAGGCTATAACAAAGGCCCTAGAATGGCTAAAAACTCAGTAATTCCTCAATACATGCTTTCTCAGTGACTCAATGAGCATGCTACAGAAGATCAAGGTGGGGCATATACAGAAACAGTGACTCCATCTGATACACTGGATCACAGCCTTTTTTTGTCCCAGGTATGCTGGTGTGAAAAGCAATGAGAGAGCAGACACCCTAGCTGGCAGTGAGACTATCATGAATTGGTAATCTATGAACATGAGAGACATCATCAGTGCCATACAAGAGACTAAACACTGTGAAGATTTGAATTTCATGGAAAAAGATTTTTCACTGAATAGATTGCATACTCTGGGTGTACCAGTTAGACCTCTGAGACAGGAAAACCATGCGGGAGCTACCTGTCATAACATCAACCAGAACATAATGGGAGTTGTTAGCCTAAAAACACTTGGAGACATGCTCAGGAGGAGATGGGAGCACTTATGGTCATGTCTGATGTGCGATGAAGATGATCTCATAAAATGAACAATGAACAATGTGCACTGGCTGGGTGTGTGTGTGTTGGGGGAGGGGGAGGGGGGGGAGGGTAGTGATGGGATAAAATTAACAGACAACATCAAACTGTGCAGGTGAGAGAGAATGGTATAACATTACAATGGGTAGGTTTAATCCAGAATGTGAGTGTTGTGTGTACATCCATTTTACAGACTGACTTATTTGTATGCCAGCTGTTGGTTCTTTGCCTCTCAGGTGGATGCAATACAACATTGAAGGGAACCTCCAGTTTGTTGACTCTTTTAACATGCTTGTTGGGAAGGCAGTAGGTTTATTCTTGCTTTCCCCAAAGTGGGGCTTCAGAACCCACAGAGGGAGTTCTTATATTGAATGGTTGGAACCAACAGATAAATATTTCATGTTTTCTTGTACTGAATGGTTGGAGATTACAGATAAATGTTGTAGGTATTCTTGTGTTGAATGGTTGGAGATTACAGATAAATATTGCATGTATTCTTGTGTTGAATGGTTGGAACCGACAGATAAATATTTCATGTATTCTTGTGTTGAATGGTTGGAACCGACATATAAATATTGCATGTATTCTTGTGTTGAATGGTTGGAGCCGACAGATTAATATTTCCTGTGTTCTTGTGTTAAATAGTCAAAGATTACAGATAAATATTTTGTGTTCTTATATTCAATGGTTTAAGATTACAAATAAATATTTCATGTGTTCTTGTATCGAACGGCTGAATGTAAACCAAATAATTTCACTGTTTATCCTTTTGATTATATCAATAATTTGTTTGACAGGAAAAGTTTTCTTACGTGGAACCAAGCATGGAGAAGAAACCTGGCACAGTATCAGACAATAACAATGTCACTCAAACGTATGAAACTACGTTACACGTTACTGACGTGGCGTGACAATGTGGCACAGCTGCAACAGAGGCATGACTTGGCTGTTGCTGTGATTGAGAAGTGTCATCTGAAACTTATCTGGCAATCATGGAAGACATATATTTCAGCCAAAGCTATTCTAAGGTAATATACAGAAATCTTCTTCTTCTTCTTTGCATTCACAGCTGTAAACTCTGGTGGAAAGTTCTGGTTGTCGGTCCACTTCTGGGCTGCAGTTCTGTTCCAGAACTGGGGTGTTGTGTGTGCATCCGTTTGACAGATCTGACACATTAGTGTGCAGACTGTTGGTTCCTTGCCTCTCAGGCAGATGCACTCCGACTTCGAAGGAAGCTCCCAATTAGTCGACTCTTACAACATGCTTTAGGTAGGCAGTGGGTCTGTTCTTGTTTTCCCTATAGCAGGGCCCCAGAACCCACACAGGGATATCATCATCATGTAGCAGGTCCTTTGCAGAACGTCGCTCTCATCACAGTTTGCCTGTAAGAAACTCAGTCTCTTGCCAGTTCCCCCAGCTCATGAACTTTCACACTCAAGGAGTCACTTATATCCTGTGCCCATCTTTGTGTCGGTAGGCCCCTGCCCCTCCTTCCTGGTACTAGGCCTTCTGCTATAATTTTTTCCAATCCGTCGTGGCGCTTGATATGACCAAAATATTTCAGCTTTCGAGAATGGATGCTGTTTATTAGCCAATCTTCCTTGATGTTCAGATCTTTTAAGATGTCAGTATTTCTCATCTTCTTTGTCCAAGATATTCTGAGAATCTTTCTATAGCATTTCAGCTCAAAAGCCCCTATTCTCTTTCTTAAGGACTGAGAGATAGTCCACGACTCACATCTGTATGTAGCTACAGGGAAGAGAGATAGTCCACGACTCACATCCGTATGTAGCTACAGGGAAGAGAGATAGTCCACGACTCACATCCGTATGTAGCCACAGGGAAGAGAGATAGTTCACGACTCACATCCGTATGTAGCTACAGGGAAGATGCATATACAGA